GAGAACTGTGCACAAGCTGATCACATACTCTGCAACCCCCCTCCCTCACCTGCCTTTAAATATGCTTTGCTGAAACCCTTCAGGGAGCTCGGGGTTTTCTTGGGTATCGGCCACCCAGTCCTCCTTGCTCAGCCCTGCAATAAACCTTTCTGCACAGTTCCCACCTTAGACTTGGTGACCTTAAAAAAAAATTCAGTTATTTTACCAGTAAAATGAGGTCATCCAGAAGAGCAGAAAATTGCAATTCGGATCAAGGAAACCATGGCAAGCCAGAGGTGAGTGTGGAGAGCTTTGTAGAGGGAAGGAGGGACCCAGGCAGGCTGCGGTGGTCCTCACTGGGTGCAGGCTGTTGGGTGGGGAGCTAGTTGTTGCGGTGGGGGGCAGAATCCTCTGCCTGGGGTCTGTGAGCTGCTGCTGCCTCTGCATGAGAGCTTCCCCCTTCAGGGCCCCTGATCCCACTTTTTTTTTTCAGAGTTTTTTATTTTTTTAGTTTATTTTTTTATTGAAGTGTAGTTGATGTACAATGTTAGTTTCAGGTGTACAGCAAAGAAATTCAGTTATACATATACATACATATTTTTTCAGATTCTTTCCCATTATAGCTTATTACAAGAAATTGAATAGCTCCCTGTGCTATACAGTAGGTCCTAGTGTTTATCTATTTTATATACCATAGTGTGTATATGTTAATCTGCAACTCCTAATTTATCCCTCCTCTGCCCTTTCACCTTTGGTAACTGGAGTTTTTTCTATGCCCCGACTCCACTTTAAGTGAGGGCTCCCTTATTTCCTTTCACAGACTCCCCAGTGTGGTGCCTGTTTTTCCCCATCGACCTGAATAGCCTTTCCCCCCAACTCAGTGCCCGGCATGTCCAGGAAGTGCCCATCTCATCATCTGCTCTCCAGGCTGTGATCAGCAGCCCACGTCTCCCTAGCAGGTCCCATGATAGCCACACCTCCAGAGAAGCTCGGCCCTGAGACCTGGGAGTCAGGGTCCCTGGGGATCTGCCTCACCACAAAGGCTCCTGAGGCAGCATCCCCTTCCTCTGCGGATTTACAGAGGAGCTCCACTGCCCTCAGTCCAGGGGGTGGCCTCACCTGGCACAGGTGGAAGGAAGGACCCCGCCCCAGGCCGGGAGGTACCAGCCTGGAGGTTGACACACTTCACCTGGGTTGGCTAAGGTTTGAGGGGTTGCTTGGGGACAGAAGAGTGAGGACTTGAGTCAGGGAGGCAGGAGGAAGCTATGGGGTGGGAGAAGGGAGTCGGGCTCCAAAGCTTTCGCAGAGGGATTTGACCATGAGTTTTGAGGTCCTGGAGAGACAAGTGCATAAACCTTGCAACAGGGCAGTTCTCACTGGCCCCCAGCACAGTAGCGGGGCTGGTCTGGGGAGGCTCGGAGGGCCTGGCAAACTGTTTAGGACTCACTCACGAGGAGACGTGAGAGGGATGCACTCCTCCATCCTGCATCCCATGTCCCCTAGGCTCTGGACCAGGTTGGCTTGAGCGTCTTGACTGACCCCTCCATCTGGAGTGTGCCTCCTGCTGGGACTGGTCCACTCAGAGAGTGGCCTCACTTTCAAGGCTCACTCAGAGTTCAAGCAGTTTGCAGCCACCCAAAGCGCCAAGACCCTCCCTGGGCACAAGAGTTTGTCTGTCTCCTCATCCATATCCCTGTCAGAGTGAGCCTTTCCTCGGGTCAGCAGTCCTGAGTGTCAACTCTGGGGAGCCAGGATCTCAGCCAGTGAGGACCATAGCACTGTCATCTGTTGACCAAATGAGTGACTATGACCAAGAAGTTCTGATCGGAAGGCTCAGTGTAATAGAAAAGAACAAACCTGACTCCGTATTAGATCTGTTCCTTTGGCTCTAAGCCTGTGCTCTGTCTCCTGGGCTCAGTTTTGCTGGTTCAGCACCTTTTGTAAAAGGATGTTGCCTAGAGCCTGAAATAGACAGGAGCGCCTGTTCTCAAGGCTCTGACCTTTAAAGATATTAACACTTTTGCACTCATAAAGATAAGTTGCAGAATAGAAAATAACATTTGTTTTGTTGGAAGTTTTACTGGGGCACTGTGACCTGGTCCAGGTGGACAAGAACAAAGGATTCTAAGAAGAAAGGATTCCTACACCAAGAAGTTTGCAACAACCAACCACATCCCCTCCCCTTTTTAGTATAAAAGGAGCCTGAAGTCGGACGTGGGGAAGATGGTTCTCCAGGACATTAGTCTGCCATCTTCTCAGTCTGCCGTCTTTCTGAATTAAGTTGCTATTCCTTGCCCCAACAACTCATCTCCCAATTCACTGGCCTGTTGTGTGGCGAGAAGATCGAGTTTGGACTCGGTAACATCAGGTCATGGGCCTTCACTACACACACGAAGAAGCTGGGGTGAGAAGGGGGTGCCGAGCAGACCATCCATCCTTATAGTCATATAGCACATATTTATTATTATATTATTTAAAATGAACTTACACTGTGACTTAGCATTTCAGCTTCTAGGTACTTCCCATAAAAGACAAAAATCAGTAAAGTGGCAACTTTCAAAACTCAAGAACATTCACTGCCGTTATTTGACACTAAAAAAGAAAAAAAAAAGAAAACAGACTAAATGCCCCAAAATAGGAAAGCAGTCATTATAAGTAACAAAGCAACCATGCGGGAGGACAACACAATCCTTTCATGTTGACATGGAGAGGTTCTCAGTCCACGGCCAGATGTGAAGGACAGCTGTCAAACACCATCACTGCAGGTCCCTACGCACCTGTGGCTATAGGAGTGACAGAGAAAACACACAACATTAAACAGGGATGGTTGGCATATGGTAACGTCTTGTGCTTTTTAAGAAAGTGTTTGTTTTTAGTTTGAGTGTATTGACTGTGTATTTGGAAAAAAACCCAAGAACAAGTGAGAGAGAGCCAGGTTGTCCTGCAAGATCCCACCCCTGGCTAGTGGGAGAATCAGGACTGAAATCTAGAACATGACCTTTCTGTCCAGTGCTTTCCCACTGGTCCGCCCAGGTCCAGGCAGGGACTCCAAGCTTCCTTCTGCCTCAGGCTTGAAATATGTCTGTCTCCTGACCCTCTTGCCAAACCTCCTCTTAGCTGACTAACAAGGGATTTAATAACACTATTGGCATGAATGCCTGCATGTCTCAACCAGATTTTCATATTTTAACACGCTTAATTTTTCTGTCCCATTTGGAAAACAAGTTTACGCTTTCCTGACCAGCACCTTGTTCTGTGCTGCCGTCAGTTGTCATGGATGCACCTCTGGTTTGATCACACAGGTTTCGCACATTTCTGGTTGACATCACTCCTGACGTTTATTATTTTTTTTCCTGATTGGACATTGTTTCCCACTTTATTTCTCAACTGGTTTTTTGTTAGCTGTGTAAGAAAGCTTTGGCTAGTGGATACTGGTTGTGTAACTGGTCAGTTCATGTGCCCTCTGTCTCTTGGCATCCAGCCAGCAATGGTTCCCAAGGCCAGTGGCAGCTCAGCATTTCCTGGGGAACTTGGGAAGAACAGAGATGCCTTCGCTCAACCCTTGGCAAATCTGCTTCAGTAAGTCTGGGGCAAAGCCCTAAATATTTAGGAAGCTTCCTGCGCGGGTCTGGTGGGTGCAAACGCTTCCCAGGCAGCATCAGGAATTCTTTAATGTCACCACTGTGTCTCCCCTTTGCATGCAATCTTCCCCAGCTTGATTGCAGTATTGTGTTAAGATATATGTCTGTGTGGATCTCTTTTTACTGATTCTGTTTGGCCCGTGGTGATGTCTTTTGATCTCAACATTGATGTCTTTGCTTAGCTCAGGGGAAATGTTTCATTAGTTCTCAGCTAACATAGTCATAATGTCCTAAGTGTACCCCACGGGACCCTAACCCATCTTACCTTCATGACATCATCATCTTCTCCCTTGGTTTTGGAAGAATTTTAGTCATTTTAGTAATTTGTCTTCTAATTCACTTGTTTGGTTTCGTTTCCCATATCGAATCTATTATTCACTATTGACAATACATTTTCAAATAAATTCATGTATTTTCTTCTGAAAATACATTGTCACAGTGCAGTGGTCTCTTTTAA